TCAAAAAAATATACAGAAATATACACTACAGTGACATCTGGCGTCGTTTTTGGAAGACATTTTTACTTCCGCATAAAAAAAAGACCTCACGCGTGTGACGTCACAGGAGAGAGAGCGGCCGGTCTAACGTATGAATAATAGTTTTGACACAGAAGAGGTTGAAAATGCATATTTCATTTAATTTCAAACCTTTATTTACCCAGGTGTATCCCATTGAGATCATTGATCTCTTTTTCAAGGGAGACCTGCTATATTCATATGCATATGACGGACCACAACCTTATAATTATGAGCCTGCTAGGCGTCCAAGAGACCAGGAGCAGCCAAGGATTAGAAGAAGTAACGACCATCGGAGAGAAATGGAGCTGTGGTGTGAGGAGAACCAGTGGAGAACTGGGCAGCTGTCCTGGTGAGTGACTGGCGTTAGCTACAGTTAATGTTAGCTACCGTCGGTCACATCACAACATTGTAAAGTTAGCTATCATATATCAGGCTATTACTAAAGTAGTATTGATAATATAGTAACGTTACTGGCAGGACTGTTGATACTGACCCATAACAGAAACTAATGCGCAAGTATCAGCCGTATCTTGCGTTACCTAATGCAACTCCACACTACGTCTTACGGTGCTGTGTACCGGAGGGGAGAGAGAGAGAGAGAGAGGAGCGAAGGGGGGGAGAGAGAGAGAGAGCAGCGAAGGGGGGGGGGGGGAGAGAGATGTAATACGGTTTCCTGATAAACGTTTTGTTTGATAGGTGCTTGTGTGGGAAATGCCAGCCCATGGCCTCAGCTGTGGAGAGTATGTGCTGCAGGGAGGTGGGGATGCCCCTCGCACAACACACCCAGGAACGAAAGCTAGCTCCGGTCCTTTTCCTGTTAGGGAAACTGTGGACTACTATGTCCTATGTAGTCCATAGGACTATGTCGATGTCCTGACTTGAGTTTGTGCAACCTGCACAAACACAACCTCACCATGATTAAAAATGGTGAAATGCAATGTAAAATTACCGAAAAAATACCAGCTCACTAAATCACAACCACTCAAACCAACTACCAACTACTACCGTGAATTGGGCAGAGAAGGAGTCCGAGAAAGTTGCTCCCCTATGTGACGTAATATGACGCGTTTGACGTTAAAAAAAAACACAGTTTTTAGGAGCAGAGCTCAAAACGGCTCCTTTCCCTCTGAATTCCTGCCCTTATATCTCGTAAAACATATCAAATCCTGCATTCACATTTTTAATGTAATTTTCAGGCAAGTTTAAGCATAAATGTCGTAAAAAAAAAAAAACCTGCAAGTTGCTTTTTAACCACTATGTAGGAATGTTACCGTAGGCCTGTAAAATACTCACAGCAGACTCTGCCTCCTGTTTCTTCTTCGCTATATTAGAGGCCGAGCTCTCCTGCTTGATCTCCAAGTCTCTGGTGAGGGAAAAGATAAATGGAGAAATGAAAAGAGCTCATCAAATTGGACTATATTAATACATGTGGTGCTATTTCCAATAACATTTCTAGCATGAAACGGCCAACGTAAAAGAAAGGTCTCTTACTGTTCCTTCTGGGCCCGCACGTAGGGCCGAATAATAAGCTGCTGGATGGCGAGGTAGAAAACCAGTGGTCCAACTGTGGCGTAAAACACAGCACTTGGCAGGAGTTGGTCAGTCAGGTGGATAGGGAAGAGATACGTCTGGCTGGCTCTGTTTAGCCTGCAGATAAAGAGTTTATTTCATTATTCAAATGAGGATGGCCTCTAACTGGCTGCTGAATTGGTCACTCCATGTGATATTTGTAGGAATCTCTATCAGAAAATAGCAGAACAAAAAGGTCACATTCAACGATATTGTCTCAGCTGCATGCATACAATATCCCGTTAATATGCAATCTTAAAAATCCTCATAATGCATAAAACTATTTCAACCAAAGATTCAACAGCAATCACATTGACCATGATTGCCTTTTCTCTGTCCTGTAAAATGGACCTGAACTTCAGATGATATCAGTGTGTTAGGAGGATTGTATGCATACACATTTCAGTGATAAAGGGAAATGATGTGCTTTACAATAGGTTAGACAGGACAGTGAGAATCAACTGCCAATTGTTCGTCAGATTTAAGATTATTGTCAAAAAGAAGACCTTACTTAAACTATGAAACTTGAATCCTAAGACCAAATAGCATTTCTGTGGGTGCAATCCTGTGTTTACATGCTTAAATATGCACAGCTAGGGCAGTAACAATCTGTAGACAATGTATTGGACTGGCTTTCATGATGTCCTGCCTTCATGGGTGCCATGGAAACAGCAGTGTGAGGAAAACACTCAAATAGGAAACTGGAGCAGAAGTTTCACTTACTTGATCTTGAGGGAGACACCTTGGGGCACTCCCACGCTGACGGTGGCCCCGAGGACGCTGTGTCGACTGATCTTCCTCTCGGCACCGTACTCGATCACCGTCCCAAAGAAACCTGATCTGTGACACAAAGACAAAATCACTCTCTATATCTCTGAACGCAGTCAAAATTCAAGCTGTCAGTTCTTGCACATACACTTCTAACCGTGTATATTTGGAAAGTCATGCATTTGCTTCACAAACAAATTGGACCCATAATAGGGGTTTTAAAGTGGCAATAGACATGTTTTATGCTTTAATTACCTTAACATTAGGAAATAGTGCAATAGCTTTAGAATAATGACACTATCAGCCAGAGGTTGCGCAAGACTTTTTCGCTGTCCGCCAGGATCGTAATATTTCCGTCAAAATCCAGAATTACCCGTCGGCCTTTACACAACTCTGACGAGGGGGGGGAGAGCATGCTCGTGAACTGTCAACGGGGGGCGCCGTGTTATGCATGCCCACTGACATTTAAATGATTTGTACGGCAAAGTTAGGTTTGGAAACGGTATCATTTCCTTTTTGGAGGGCATGCATAACACTAGGGATGCACCGAATATTCGGCCACCGAAAATTATCGGCCGAAAATGACCTTTGTCATCGAGATTGCCCTGAGCCTTTAACAAATCGTATTAAATAATCTGATGACAGAATAGCTGAAATTTTAACAAACTAAATAACTCAGTTTCCTCTAATCATTAACCCATGTTTGTATCATGTAGTTAACTCCGTGTGTTGCTGCTAGCATACATAACACCTGAAAGGAAACGTTACTCGTGGATGGGGCTGCAGAGCTGCTAGAAAGACGGTCGAACCCGGTACATTCCTCTGTCTGCATGCGGTGCACTTTTGCTAAATGTTTAGACAAATTGCTCGTGCTTACATGCTAAACTCTTATTGCACTTATGGTAACAAGTATTCTCCACATCGAGACGGGTAAAGTTTAACCACACCTCGGAGCGCGTTCTCTCCGCCATCTCCGCAGTGTGCTCCGCTGCATGTAGCAGCTGCGTGTGTGTAAACTGCCCCGCCCCCTCGCACACAGACGGGGGAGAGAGATCTCGTCTGATCGAAAATACATCATAGACGCATTTGTTGTCTTTGCATATTAGAAACGAGTTGGCGACACTAAGACTGCGATATAATGTTTTTTAGCAATAATACATGACATATATAAATGTACTGTATGCATTCAAAAGTGCTGAATAAATGTTTTATGGACCCATAATAGTGATTATTAGTTAAGTTAAGTTTTGCCATAATCATGTCTATTTCCATAATCAGGTAGCTGAACAACATTGGTAAAAAATGTATACATTATATATATATATATATATATATATATATATATATATAATGTATACATTTTTTACCAATGTGTATATATATATATATTTCTATTAATCATTTTCGGCCTTTCGGCATTCGGTTTTCGGCCAACTGTTTCCTATTTTCGGTATCGGTTTCGGCCAAGAATTTCCCATTCGGTGCACCCCTACATAACACGGCATAACACCGATACCTCGCTGCGGGGAAACTTTGGCGCGGTTCCGAGTTTGTTCTAATCTGTCAAAATCACGGACTGCTTTCAGATTTTTCTGTCATTGTTAAAAAAAATACGTCATAGACAGAAAATATTCGGTTAACGCGACCTCTGCTATCAGTGTATAGATTAGTTCCCTACAGGCCTTGCTTTCACTGTTCAATCCTGCTTGACACTGGGTAAATAAACAGGCTCGATTTAGGGTACAACGCTGTAAAAACCAAAATACACAGTTAGCACAGATGGGCATTTACAGTTTTGCCAAATGTTTTCTGAATGAAAAACCTAGCACTAGATACAAAAGTAGTTAAAAAATGCCAGATGAAAGCATACTCTCATTCTGAGCCATTGGGTTGTGTCGGTTGGAGTAAGGGATAGGCAGTCACAATGCAAGAGGAGAGTCGTTGGGAATTAATTAAAATACAATTTCATTTATTTTCTTGCTTTTTCCCTTGTGGTGTAAATAGTTTGCTAAATTTGTGTTAACAGTAAGCTGTGATCCTGTTGGCTTTTGCGACAGTGGTGCCAACAATAATACCACTTGTAAACAAAGGGGGAAATGTTGTATATTGCCACGTTAATATGAACTCATACTGCTCTTTGATAACTTACTTTACTGAGCCCTTAATCTTTGTCTGGTCCTCATCCTGGAACTTGTACTGGTAGCTCATCATCATAAAAGTGTGAGGAACGCCAAGCTGCAGAGAGAGGAAATGCAAATGATAACTCTGACACAAGCAGCTGTTGATTGAATGGTGTCCTGGCTACAATAACATAACTATTCCAGAAGGCTGCTTGCCTGCATAGCGAAGGTGAAATGGCTGCTCTTGGTGTCCCTGACGATGCTGGTGTTCATAGAGGACTGCACGCCCCAGCGCCACTGCAGGTATCCCATAGTGTTCTTGTCCAGGTGACGCGCCAGCATCGTGGTAAACCCAGGACGCACGCCTCGGGAGGACAACTGGAGCCCACACTGACCGGTCACGAAGCTGAGGTAAAACAAAAAGGTCACTGAATTGTTAATTTTCTTGTTACAAATACGTTCTTCTAATTGGTTTTCTCTTGCAGTTCAACACATACAATCGAGGCGTCAAATTCCGGAAAATCTTCATCGCTAAAAGAGGTCCATGGGTGTCTCCAGCACCAAGCTCGACCTGTGAACAGACACACAGCAGGTAAGGTTTCATCATTTCCTTATCTTAAAATGTCACTGCATGTTGTACCACTAAGGCAGACAGGAGTGACAGGAAGAAAGTGTGCCATTTAAAGTCTATATACAAAAAGGTGTGTGTGGTTCCTTGAGAAAAATGCAGCATACCTCTCCCCATCCCTTGGTGGAGGTGACTCTTCTTAAGGCCAGGTTAATGGTGCCACCTCCGTTTCCATTGTGGGTTGACAAGGAGCCAGACAGAATAGCGGTGTCTTTTGTAGTGAGAGGAGCCTGCAGTGACAAAGAGACAAAAACAGGAAGTCTTATGGTAAATGTAATTGTGCTACAACTCTTTCATTCCAAAACAAATGCCACTTGAAAACCCACCTCTATAGATTGTGATATGTGCATCTTGTTGATTTCAATATGTGGGACTCCCCCTTTGCCCACATCCTCATAGTCTTCCTCATACTGGTCGAAGACGTCCGTGGCATCAATGCCGACACTAATTGTTCCCTGCAAATAACAAATTCAGGAGAAAAAACGCTGCTTTAATGAATGATTTACATAAATATGATGCCTCATGACTCTTTTCAATACAGTCAATTTGATGTGAGGTTTCCCTGTGAACATGCCTTTGGGTTGGTCCTTTGCTGAAGCCTCCTCTCCTCTCGCTCTTTCTGAAGACGCTCATACTCCTCTCGTATCTCTGCGGGGGTTCTTTTCCTTTCCACCACCTGGAGTAGGGAGATACGATTTGAAAGCAAATGTCTGCCTCACATGGTGCGGATAAAGAATTACAGTAGGAGGAATTTCACCAGGATTACATACGTTCTGTGTGTCATGTTTTGTACTATCAAGCATCTATAGTTAAAGTAAACACAGGAGAAGCAGAACAAGAACTAATTTAAGCAAGTTTAATAAGGGAATATCATCTTGGACAGAACGTTTTTGTGGTTAAAATACAGGCTTAACTTGTTGAGCCCCGAGCCTGTTTTTCAGGGCTCAGGCTCGAAAATGACATTCCCAGAACTTCCCTTCTAAAAGGGTTAAATTAAATCATCTTTTTTCTCAAAGCAATGACAAACCTGTGAGTTGGATGTAGAAAAGTCAGAATCAATATAGATGTTTTTATTTTAAAGTAAATTCAAATTTAACATAGTAAAAAAATGTAAATTAGAGTGTCCGTCCAAAAAATAAATAAACCATTACTTATAGTGAAAACCACCCTTGAATGATGGGATAGCATACTAAAAGCTTTAGGAATCCAAACTATATACATATAAAACATATAATAAGTACCCTGTATCAAGATTGATGCAAAATAAGATACATTTGACCTTTTTAGAGAGATTTAGAACAAAAAAACACTTCTGGGGTCATTTGGGTGGATTTTTCATATCTTTGGAACCCATCGGTCGATTTTGGCGATTGACACCTGTTTGAACCGTTAGAGCCAATAGAATCGAGGGGAAGTTCCTAAATCCATCTAAACATTACCCATTGGTGAATGAGTGATGCGCAAAACACTATATGAAAAGTCAGTTTTTTACATAAATATGATGATGGCTTATCAGTAATCATTTCAAAGTCACCGAGACATTGGATTAACCTTCAGCAGCGTTTGTACGCGTTTTAATGCCATCGAACACAACTTTTGATCAGAACAACAGCTAAGGTAAGATGACTTTGGCGTTTGGATCCCGTAAGGTTAAGTTGTGTGTTGTTTGGTTTCGCCTTCGCTGCCGCAGGTTTTGGTCGTGGGGTGATGATACTTATACCATTGGAATCTGTGGAATCTCAGCTTTCATATGATATCTTGTTTGTGCAGATCCGATGAAGTATAACATATTTCTACCGTGAGTTCTGTGCTAAGTGCTTTAGCACTCTTTCGCTTAGTGCTAATTCAGACGCTCGGCGTTAGAGTTGTGTTTTGTTTCGGTAATAGTGGTTAATATCGTCAGTTAGCGGAGTATCTTCCCGTTAAGTGTATGACACATTAATAGGTTGTTAAATGTTAAGAAGCCCTGAAAAAAGGCTTAACAGGTTAATAACCATGCTTGTGAAATTCAGAACATTGTATAAATAATGGTAAGGGCTATTGTTTCTAACTGTATGTCATTCTTTAGGAATTACTGTCCACTACAGCCACTAAATGACTTACCTCCCATCCATCAACATCAAGTCCTCTCTTGCCATAGATATCATAGATGGCTCGTGCCTGTGGTTCACGAAGCACTGAAAAGACATGGATAACCACCAATGTTATTAACCCTCAGAATAGTACCATAACATAATGAACGTCATTTGCTTTATCTGAAAAGCTTTTCTTACCTTCATAAGCTTCATGTACGAGGTTAAAAAGTTGTTCTGCCTGACGCTTTAGTTCAGGGTCCCTGTGTTTGTCTGGGTGATACAGCATGCATAATCGCCTGTATGCCACCTTCAGCTCGTCCTGCGTCGCCTGAGGCACAAGATTAAAACGCATAAATGTGAAAGAGAAACTTGTTGGTAAACTCGAGCAACAACATACAAAACACACAGCAGGATGTTGCTACAGCTTAACTCCACTACTTTCAAATCATCCAAGACTTATATGAAATGAAAATGAACTGTTGTAATATGCAGGGTTTAGGTAACTTGTAACAAAACATCCCAGAAAACAGCTGTTTAAATTCTGGTTTTACTAATAGTGTTGTTGGATACACTATATTAGAACAGGTATAGCCCCAATAGTAATCAAATTAGCTTGTTATGCAATGTTCTCTATTATTATGTTTTATTTTTCTTAAACACTGACATGGAGATTATACACTTTTATTAAGATGTGTTGAGAAAATGTCTCGTTTATTTTTTAAGAAAAGTTTGTTTTGCAAACTTTTTTCATATATTTTAGTTATTCATGCTTATCATCTTAACAAGGACATATACGAGTTATCTTTTAACATAGTAAATCTGGAACAGCATGTTTTTGTGCCAAAATATATGTTGTGTTGAAATTGTCCACTTGCATAAAGTTGTGGACGAATTATTCAGTTTGTTCACTTAGGTGAATCTATTAATACCACAGTTTAAAAAGACTGTTACAAGTCAACATTGCTTAACTTTAAAGTAAAAATAAGTATCAAGTAGCATAAAATGGAGACACTGAAGTACAAATATCTCAACACTGGACTTTGTGAGTAAATGTACTTAGTTACATTCCACCACTGCTTGCATTTGAACATAATGTTCTCTTCTTCACTAATACAGGTTGACAGACAGAAAGCATTTGATTCCCAGACAGGTATTTCCATTGCAATCTGATCAGCTGTAAATAATTAATGCTGAAACCCTGAAGTTGTAGCATTAGCTAACTTTAGTTAGCACTGTCCATGAGATAATTATGAAACTGAAAATAACTGTCATTGTATTATCTTTGGCTTCCAGATCCCCGCAGTAACACGCGATCCTCTGCCTAACTTTATCAACACACAGCCCCTGCTGGAAAAGTCTTAACCTCACAACCTGTTGGGTGTCTTGCAAAGTATCCAGCCGAGGAGTCACAGCATATAAATCAATGTCGAGGGTCACAAGCTAGCCACCTAGCTAACGATACATGTGATTGTACACGAAACTGCTCAATATCAGCCGGGTAAAGTTGATAGAATTGCTGCGACATGCCCCTGCACACACATCAAACCAGATCACTGCTGCATATGTTACCTCTCTCCTGACATTTAGCAGGGAATAGTAATCATCGTTGAGGATCTCATCATCGTCCAAGGAAGACGCCATGTTTACACCCGGTCATCTCTTCTTCGTTGGTTAAAGCCTTCTGTGTGCACTCTATCGCCCCCTTGTGTTGCGGATGAATAACAACACAGCAGCTTTGTTTACATGCTTGTTCATGATTTTTTTCAACTTGTGCTTACACTTAAAGTTTAAAATGATCTTTTATTCACCGTTACTGGAGATTTTATGAGGAGTTGTGGCGACATACACATAAGATTTGTTGCAAAGTAAAAAGGTAGGGTTGGTTTTTTCTCACAACCCCCAAAGAGTGTATAATACATTCCCCATACAGTGTAATATATTATTGTTTTACTCTGCAACTGACAATGTAACAATGTCATGCAATTTTGTATTAATAAAAACACAAATTTGAATACAGTCATACATATTTAATGCAATCAAATTAATATTGAATATAGTTACTATACACATAACGTTATATCTAACTTTAAAACAATGTTATCTGCATTCTATCCACCTAGGAACAATTTAGGCTAGGGGTGATTAAACTGCATTAGTCTTTCATTAGTTCATTACTTTCTGTGCAACCACAACAAAGCCATTGCAGGTATACAAAGGGGCACGAGCGGCAGGCAGCAGAGGAGCTGTCCTTTCAGCACCACCAGTAAACACTGCGTTTCAGCACTGACGGCCACCAGCCTGTTAATGCAGGGTGAAGGCTGTCCTTAAGTGCTGTAGTTGACGCGAGTGCCAACAGCACAGCCTATTAAGCACAATGATGTGTAATTAGATTGCCTGTGTTCATTTAACGTAGCCATACTATTGTCAAGCCTAAATGCTACTGCGCCATACTGATGGAAGTTAGAAACCCTAATGGCATAGTGAGCAGAATTAAAGTAAATGTAAGCAGTTGTTCTTCACATCTGTGCATCACATCGACCCCCCAGTACCTAAAGTATTTATGTTATATTGTTTTCTTATGGTCGGATCCACATCTTCTAGTATTGCCTGCAGCATTCAGCATCATTGTACGGCAGTATGAAATCAGTTTGACATGGATAATAGGGAACAAACTCGTCCCCAGGCTTTCAAATGTAGACTGACATCTGAACACTTGATTGATAGACAGTGCAGACAATCAGTACTGTTTGAGAAGTTTGCAGTGTTGTTTTGGTAGTTTGTATTATGCTATGTTCCCAAGACTATCCAATAATCACATGTCATAGGCTACTGATTTGATTCAATGTACCACAATTAACATTACATTAAAAAACAAGACAAACTTAAAACGTATTTGCTGTTATGGATGATTAACAGGATAAAATATGCAAATGTTGTATCCGCAGAGAGTTTTCTTGTTATCAGTGAAGACCTCAATTATCAGTTTAGATCAGCAGCTCTGATGAAAGCTTACATTAAAAACAAACTTAATGAAGGCCATTAAACAGTTAGTCGTCTAATTAGCCTAATATCAACAGACTAATCTCAACGTTTTCTGTCACTTAGGAGTAAAATGGTTTATTCAGTGTAAAACAACTTTAGTGGGACGGCTCAAAGACAAACATTTGGTATTTACAGTCTAATTAGTTTAAATTAAAACATGCAGCGTCACCTACTGAGCCTTAATTCTTTTATTTTTAATATAATAAAACGTCTCCTTAGAGGTGCAGTACAAGTAGAGTGTAGGGATACTCTGTTACAAGTAAAAGTCTTGCAATCAAATATTACTCAAGTTAAATTAGAAAAGTATTAATCAAAATATAGATAAATTAACAAAAGTAAAAGTACTCATTATGCAGATTGGCCCATTTCAGTGTCATATCATGTGTTTTGAGTACTGGGTAGCTTCAGGTGTAACTAGTCATATTTAAGGGTTGATTATATTTCTCATTATTAATCCAAATCTGCAAAGTATAGGCTACTAAATGTATACAAAGTAAGTACACTATTTACTTCTCAATTTAAGTAGAGTACAAGAACAAAGAAGCAAACAATTGAAATACTCAAGTAAAGTACAAACCCCTCAAAATTGTACTTAAGTACTTGAGTAAATGTACTTAGTTACTTTACACCACTGCGTCCCCTTCTTTTAAGAGGAGCGTCATGCAGCGCCTCTGAGCTGTTTTAAATTCCCTGTAAAAAACCAGAAGCAGGCTGGTGGTGTGTGAAGGTGAGTTGAGCTGTGTATCCTCTCTGTCAGTCTCCTCTCGCAGCCAATAGTAAGTTCTACTCGGACGGACCGACTCGCCGCTGCTGCTCCGGTCCCTCCTCGTGCTGTCCTCGCCGTGCACGCGCGTGGTACCCACGGTCGTGAGGAGGAGGAGGATGTTGCGCGTGAAGGGGAAATGGCTGCCGAAAACAAGCCGGAAGGTAAGAGAAATATAATGGGATTAATTTACTAGTATGACCGCTGTGTGATTTTAGAACAGTTGCAACTCTGTGCGGAAGATGTCACAGACGCGAGGACAAGTGGAGAATTTTTGTGTAGAAAACGTCTCCGCTGTTTTCCTCCGAAAAGGCAGCTAAAACGTGGAGACATCACCTAGCCAGCTAATATTAGCTTGCATTCTAGCCAGCTACTATTCCCATCGTAGCCCACATTTAAAGCACGCCACGGGGACAAACAGTCCGCGTGGTAAAAGTAACGCGTTTATTTTGCTCGCAATTCTTGTCTAAAGGCGAGCAAATTCAAGTTGTTAACAACAATGCTAAGTTAATGACAACATGTCATTGGCATCGACTAACTTCTTCCCTTATTACCCAGCTTTAAAAAAGCGGCTTGCTTCTGTCAGTTTATCTGTCAACACGGCTCTTTTCTTCAATCGTTATGTGCAGGATGTTTTGAATGCATTGTAATGATCATTTGAACATCTCTTTTAAAATGTTTTTGTGTTTTATATTCCTCCGTCTTAGAGAGGCTCGTTCAGTTCTTCCTTGAAGCGCTGGCATTCAGCGAATAGTGTTTGCGAGTCAAAAGTGATGTCTTTTTTTTTGTTTTTTACATAAGCGGATATTTATTTTTGTCCAAATGCCAATTATAGACTACTACTTGGCCTATATTTGGTTCGAGACACGGGCTTCACAACGTTGTAATGCCCGCTCCGCTCGCAATGCCCTATCGCACTTGAAATGAAATGCCATCACACAGAGGAAGCAGGAGGATGGAGAGGGTTTCCAGCAGCTGCTCCTAACACTACTTTACACATAGGGACAAAATGATGACTTTCTCCCTCAGCCTATTTCATACGGCTCACTGACTTAACATTACATTCACTCGACTTAATTATTTCCTCTTTATGGGATATTTTATAGCAAAACATATGCATAAGCGATCTGTTCTCATTCAGAGAGGCCAATGGAATTTTTTGGTGAGTAACTAAGCTTATATGAAAATATAAAAGATGTATTGCATCAATGCTAAAGGGAGTAGTTTTCAGCTTAGTATTTCAACTGGAAAGAGTTAAGGGCTGACATTCTTAGATGATACAAAAGCATAAATCAACCTTAAAATGCATTTGCCAGATTTGTATTGAAATGACTAAAGACTGTCCAGATGTTGTGCATGTTTAATTCAAATGTCCTGTTTATGTTCTTTTTTTGTTATAGTCATCATACTTTGAACTGTTTAACTTTAGTTTTTTGATTGACATAATTGAGTATAATGGTATGTCATTAAAACAGTATGTCCTAAACTTGGGGTATTTATATATATATTTTTGAATGAACTTGAAGTGGAGCGAAAGACTCATCCTGCACCTGAAAAGTGTTTGCATAATTTGAGTGCGAGAAAAAAAAGACTCCTTATAGGTGCAGCTGTTTCTGAGCTGTTCATAAGTAGTGTTGCAGGCTTCAAAAGTAAATAGACCTCCTTCAGAGTTTGGTGTCAATAACCTTAAAAGTGAAGTCTTTTTGAAGTAGAACCACTTTTATGTTTAAAATAGCAGTAAACAAATGACCTCTGTCTATATGAGGGTAAACGATAAAAGGCTGAACTCAGTTGTTTGGATGTCAGTGTGCCAACCACCAAGCAGAGTCCCACCAGGGGGTGCTATTGAGCTACAAAAACACACCTAACTATATGAGGAATCTGTTTGTGGCTATAACAAAAAATAAAGACATCTGCTTTATGATAGTAATGTCTTCATTGTGGCGTATAGTCCTAATGTATTCATCTACTGAGCTGAACTTAACAAATAGGCTCCAGTTGTTCATCTCGACGGCTCTCCAACACAGGGAGCTCTCACTGAAAAACCCTGCCTTGAAAGTCCCATTGCTGAGCAGGGGAAGTTATTTTCAGTGTTCCTGTGAGGCCGGTCAGTGGACAAAGGAGGAGGAGCAGCATAGAAACAGAGAGTGCTTCATACCTTGACATAAATGTGATGTCGACTCATGCAAACGTGGCCCTTAAAGCTTTTACACACAGCTGTCATGCTGAGTCTTTGCTCATGCATCCCGTTTTCTTAATTCATGAATGTAGAGCATGCTGTTTAAAAATACATCACTATGACAGTTTGAACATGACATGTCCCTGGATGTCGCGTGGAGAGATAAACGGTGTAACCTTTTGTCCTTGTGGTATGCAGGCAGATCTGAATTGTCTCAGACGTTTGGCAGGTCTTCTGATGGCCCATAACAACTGAGGGTTACATCTTGTGTTAAACCCAAGGGCCACGGCCCAGTCTCACTCACTAATGTAATGTTTACATCCTGGGGTATTCCTCTCCAGCCTAAATGATTGTCAGGACCCTTGAGGGTGTTTCTTTTGCTCTTCACACTCATGAAAAGCACTGTGTCCGTTACTTTAAGTACAAGGCCTAGAGGGCACTGAAAAAACACATTTGATATCTCACACTCAGACTGCTCTGGAGGAAAGTACAGCCAATGGTTTTATGAATCTACTAGAGTGTAGTCATAAAAATATCGCTGTTTAAAGGCCAATTTTGTAGAAACAGAACAAGCACTTTAGTAAACACAAGCTCTCTGCTAACACTTGTGTGGTGTTGGGATTCATGATCAAAAGTAAACACTGTGCTAAAGTTAAATATTG